GGGGTCTGTTGGAGCCACTCTCCCAGTTTGGGGGTCACAGCCCCCAGTGTTCCTATTACCATGGGGACCACTTGTGCCTTCACCTTCCACATCTTTTCTAGCTCTTCTTTCAGCCCTTGGTATTTCTCGAGCTTCTCGTGTTCCTTCTTCCTGATGTTGCTATTGCTTGGGATTGCTACATCTATGGCCTTCTTCTTCTGTTTGTCCACCACTACTATGTCCGTTTGGTTGGCCATTACCAGTTTGTCACTTTGTATCTGGAAGTCCCACAGGATCTTAGCTTGGTCATTCTCAACCACCTTTGGAGGTGTATCCCATTTTGACTTTGGGACTTCTAGCTTGTACTCATCACAAATGTTTCTATACACTATGCCAGCCACTTGGTTATGGCGTTCCATGTATGACCTGCCTGCTAGCATCCTATAAATGTAACATATATACAATACTTGGCCAATAAAGCTGATTTTGAACATGATGGGTCTTTTGAATGATGTGTAGTATTGGAAACATGTTGGGTTGTTGTCGTCACTGCCTTTATGTAATATCACAAGCTTACAAATGATGGACATGGGTCCCAGCTTAGTGGAAAAAAATATTAGTTGTAGAAAACTTTAATTCTTTAAGTGCTCATGGATATTTATAGATATAGTTGGCTAGTCTGACTAGCAGGAAAACTGCTCATTAGTACACTGCCATCTACCATTTTTTTATAACGTTGTTTTCCTACCAACCAGTTCAAAGGGCTTTTCATGTGTCAGTGTGTGAATGCTGTTGGTTCCTGTCTCTTTTGTTTGGTAGCATTGTTTTCTGGTCTTATCCAACGTGGTGCATTGTGATCTGGTATGCTGAGTTTGGTATTACAAACCAGAGGAAACATTCAGTTTTGTTATCTTGTTTTTGTGTCATAGTTGTAAATATTGCAAGCGACATCAGAATAGCAATGCACATTAAGGGCTTCCAAATTTAAACTAGCAAAATACTCAGTTTTTGAAGGCAAGGTGGCTTTAGAACACATAAATATGCTCTCTGTTTAAAAAAAGCGGCATAAATACAAACATATGCAAAGTAGTTGACACATAGTCAAAGAACAAGCTGTAGACATCTATACTGATATAACCACAACAGAGCAGCAGTTAAACACAGTCATCCTTGTAAGAAGTCAGTTTTTATCTGACACATTCTTTGCTGTTTTACACGATTTGTATTAATTAAAAAATGCACAGCACACTTATCTACTAAAGGATGACACCAGATTTCCTTTCCGCCTGCAAATGCTTTGAGAAAAACCAGAAGAAGACATAAAAAAAGCACTCTGCTTTCACCCCGTGCATTTCCTTGTTACCCTGCCACAAGATTCTCTGAATCCCATAATTTCTCCACATTCTTTTAACCAAGGAGCACAGGTTTCCACTTGACTGGTTCAAAATGTAAACTCGCTCCTCTTCTGCAGCTCTAAAGAGACAGCTGGCCGGTCTGTATCAGGTTGTCCTGGGTGACAATATGGATGCCTGGGCCTGTGGCCGGAGTTGATATCGGCTATGGCTCAGCTACTACCATTGAGGAGATCTGGTTGTGTTGATCTAAAATAATTGAAGTAACTCAACCCGAGGCACTCAATGTACTGGTACTTGTTGCGTTTAGAGATTATGTTGAGCACACAGTTCCAGCACTGGCCCACAGTCATGCTATTTATTAAAAGTGAGTGCTGATGAAGAAATGAGCTGTGTTTGTTTGGTTAGCCCATCAGTAATACAGTGTGATGGAGGACAGACTTGTTTACATTATAAGCGGTCAGGAAGGGCAGGCTGAGTAGATTTCCGGAGAGATGGGAGGGTTTACTGCCTCATTTTCTCTCTGCCCTTCCTGTGGACATACCCCCTAACATGCACATATCCATATGAAACCTGCTCTTTTTAAAAGCAGTGGGCTAATGGAAGTTTCTGGTGTTGGTCATTTATCTCAGTGGTAATTAATCATATTCTTACAATTCTGTGCTCAGACATCTTAGTGGAGACGGGGACCTGAAGTTTTTTGACCTTCAATGTCCAGCTGGATCAAATAAAGCTTGAAGGGTTTTAGAGCAATGTCTGCTTACGGAAAGCATGCAAAATAATGTTAAAAGGTTTGTCTCCTCCCATCTTCCATATGTATTTAGTTGCCATGCCCAGTGCACAGATGACGATGATGTTGAGTTGCGCTGTCTGCAGTCTGAGCGTGTTGTAAACTTTGCTCTGATCAGAGGCAAGAACAGAGCAGAAAGTGACAAGGCATTGTAGGTTGACCAAAATGATTATCAGTGTTGTGTAACCCTCAGAATACTCTGAATTCTTGTATGTATTGAAATGCAGCATATTTGCTGTTAACCGTTTGTCTGCATTCAAACTGCCAGTTTCATAAAAGCTGAGCAGATGTACTGCAGGCCTGCTTTCTGCCAGGAACCCTTTTGTTGTGGTCTTGGAGCTCTTTTCAAAGCTATAGTGTCTCTGCTCTGTCCTGTCATCTGCCCATCACACTTCCTCCTCTTCGCTGGCTTGTCTGAGCTGCTTGTGTAACTAATGGAAACCTATAGTTGGCCTGCTGATGATTCTGATCACACTCAAGTTTGAAGTGTTGCTCCATTAATGCAGCGAAGATTCCACTTTGATTATATGGAACAGTCTGAGTTGTACAATCGTTTACCAATGTACTGTATGCCATTTTTAAACACTGCTGATTAAGTTTGTTCTTCCAATTCAGGCAGCTTACCTCAAATATTCCACTCACTGATCCAAGGATAGCTACAGATTTAGTACTCGCTGATATGAATGCCAATTCACAAACCTACAGGCACTTTTATTAGAAGGAAAGCTCTAAAAATCTGATGTGCTTTGATCCTTGCTGAGCAGAATGGCCTGCTGGGTGAAGTGTGACATTAGCATAAAAAACTGCCTGACGCTAGCTTGCAAGGTGTAAATGGGGATGGCAAAAACACTTGCATGTGAATTTCTTTTGCTGCCCGAGTACGAGGAATCCTCAAACAGACATTTATCCTCTCCACCCCTGGCTTTGAAGGAATTGCTATTATTACTGAATGAACAATTTCAGGAATTGCACAGTAAATTTTGTTGCACTTCTGTGTGCAAAAGGTTATCTTCTTATGATTTGGGACTCATCACATTTTGGGGTTTTTTTTTTCTTTTTTTTTTTTTTTTTTTTTTTTTTTTTTTTTTTTTTTTTTTTTTTTTTTTTTTTTGCTTATGTGCATGTGGCTACAGCAAACAGTGATTTTCATTATCCATTTATCTGCCAGTTATTTTCTCCAGGCCACTCAGCAACTGTAGCTAAGGTCTGTTACTATTTTTAGCATTTCACATGAACATATTTTACATGTGCCCTGCTCTTTAGAGCAGAGACGATTTCCTCTGTG